GCAGTGGCTAAAATGATTTTAGAAACTGAGACATATACTGTTTCCGTTGGACCCCCAAGTCCTTTGCAAAATCTCTGCATTCACTTGTTTATAATTTTCAGAATCTTAACAACTGCAATTATCTTTGCCATCACATCAATAATTACTTAAATCTAAGTATAATTTAGATTTTTTAAGTGTTCTTCACTGTTTCCTCTATATTACACATCTTTCATTTTTTTCAGTTATTTATGTTGTTATAATTTGGCTTGAGTGGAGTATGTCCTCAGAATATTATTTTTCCAGAAAAGGTTAGTCAAGGATATACTTTCTAAATCCTTCTTTAAAATTGTTTTCTTTTTCCCTCACACAAAGGACAATTTGTATCACAATGTTGGTCACAATTCTTTTTCCTCAAAACTCTTCTAATGTATACTGTGGCTAAGAAATTGAAATATCAGTCTGGTTTTTCTTCCTCCTTTAAATAACTTTTATTTCTTACCTTAGTGTTTGTAAGATTTTGTTTCTATCCTTGAAATAAAAAAAAAAAAATTACTGACACAAGTCCTGCCATGTGTCTGTTTTCTACAACTCTGTCTTTTAATACTGAATCTTTTCAATCTTGAGTCTGCAGCGCAGTAAATGTCCTCATGTTATTGCTGCTCCTTTATCACTTCCTTCTCTTATTTATCAAGCTATAATATAAAGGGTTTGGAGTGGATGCCAAGTTCAATTCAACCTGTCTACCAGAATGGCCCTCTCCATCAGACACCAGCCCAGATCTTGTTGGCAACAATGCTTGCAGGAGTTCTCGATGCCCACAAGTTGCACTATGTCCACTAGAAGTGGGGAGAACGTCTGTCTGCCACTTTGGTGTTAATGTTTTCCACAAATGTGCCAAAGCAGTGCTGCTTGTGTTCAAATGCCCTAAATGATTTTTCAAAAAGCAGTCTCATTAAAACAAGTTTTACTTATTTACCCTCCTGACCCAAGATAGAGATGTGACTCTAACAGAGGCTGTATATGGAATATAGAAAAATCTTAGTCATAAACACCAGGTTGTTCTCTGAATTCTCTACCTGACAATGAAAGCTCTGTTATTCAAGTAGTCATTCTGGGGTAAATTCTCAAATCTGTAGAAATTGACTTCCAAAAGTATGGTAGATCGTATTTCTGAAGAAGGTACAATATCTCCCATCCCACATGCTTTTTTGCAATATGAGTCTTATTACCCCTCCTTTGAATCTGAGCTGCCCCTGTGACTGCCTTGACCAATAGAATGCGAAGGAAGTACCAAGACCAGGCATTAAAAAGGCCTGGCAGCCTCCACGTTGCGGAATGCAGGAAGCCAGCCATCATGTAAGAAGTTCTGAAACCACTGTTAGGAAGTCCTGAAACTACCATGCTGTGAGGAAAGCTGTTAAGGAAAAGTTATTCTGACACTCATTAAAATAGTAAGGAAGACTTTATTTAAAAGGGAGATTGCAATAGGGGAGAGAGATCACCTTACCTCTGAAAGCAGCAAAGACGGGTGGAGATTTATAATGAAAGAGCAAAGAGATCAGTAGATGGAAAATTACTAAGAGGAGAAATAAAGGGTAGGGTAAGTTTAGGTTGCTAAACTAACCTAACAGGATTCTTGTTGAAGGCAGAGCAAGGGTTTATGCAGACAGTCCCGAATTTACAATGGTTTGATTTAATGATTGTTGACTTTATAGTGGTATAAAAGCAATACGCATAATAAGTCACATGAGATATTTAATAACTTATTATAAAACAGACTTTGTGTTAGACAATTTTGCCCAACTGTAGTCTAATGTAAGTGTTCTGAGCACATTTAAGGCTAGGCTAAGCTATGATGTTCAGTAGATTAGGTGTATTAAAAGCATTTTTTACTTATGATATTTTCAGCTTATGATGGGTTTATCAGGAAGTAACCCCATTATAAGTCGAGGAGCATCTATCTGTATATCAGAGGTGGGGAAAGAGGAATTTGATCACATACTGAGGGTGATCAGATATCAGGTGTTGGGGGGACTCTCGCTAAACTTACTATGATGGTTAATTTTATGTGTCAACTTGACTGGGCTAAGAAAACCCAGATAGCTGGTAAATTGTTTCTGGTTGTGTCTGTGAAGATGTTTCTGAAAGAGATTTGTGTGTTAATTAGTAGAGACTGAGTAAAGAAGATCTACCCTCACCAATGTGGGCAGGCATCATCTAACCCACTGAGGGCCCAAATAGAATGAAAGGGCAGAGGAAGGGTGAATTCTCTCTCTCTCCTTGATCTGAGACATCCATCTTCAGCCTTGGACTGGGAGTTACACCATCAGCTCCCCTGGTTTCTAGGCCTTTAAACTCAGACTGAATTATACCACTGCTCTCCTGGTTCTCCAGCTTGCAGATAGCATTCTGTGGCATATCTCAGCTTCCATAATGGCATGAGCCAATTCCTATAATAATTAAACTCCTCTTACATATCTTATTAGTTCTATCTTCGAAGAATCCCAATACGCTTAACTTTGCAGGATTCTTGCTAAAACTGGGCTAGGCAGGCTGAAGATGGAACAAGGGCCAAGGTCAAGGCCTAAGCCAACAAGAGGACTCAGAGGAGCCGGTCTAAAGTTTAGTCAAGGAAAGAACCTTTGTCAAAGTTCAACCTAGCCATATGGACAGGCTGCACCACAGGGAGAGGGAGGTGCCCAGCTAGACTTCAGCTGTTCTAGCCATCCCAGCTGAGGCAGAGACATAGGAGTGAAGAAATCATTTTGAATGATCTAGCTCCAGCAGATGCCACATAGATAAGCTATTCCTGTTGAGCCCTACCCAAAGTGCAGTTTCATGAGCAAAAAAAAAAAAAGAAAGAAAGAAAGAAAGATTGTTGTTGTTTTAAGGCATTAAGTTTTAGAATGCTTTTTTACACAGCAATGGACAAGTGAAATAGGGCAGACTATTCCATTAGTTAACCAAATATACCCAGGCATGCCTGAATTCTCTGATGGGTTCAACTCAGGCCCAGGCTGGGAGGGCCCTGCTATCGATGTATGCATGTCAGTCTCATCCTTTAGACTTTTTGAAATTTGAGCAAGAGTTATTTTATTATATCTTTTTATTATATCTATATTTTATTATAGCACCTCTCAAGAGCATCTGTTATATAGTAGCTTCTCACTATGTTCTTACTGGATGGATTAGAAGCCAATGAGTGATCTGTAGCACAGATATTATCTAATCCACTAACTTCTTCCCCTTCTCGCTCTTTCTGTCAATGCTCAAGGTCGCTTTACTCACATCTCCAGCAGCCCGCTCCCACCTACACACACATTTACATCACATCTCTTCTTTAACCCCTTTCCTCCTCCTGCTCTCAATTCTTACTCAACTAGCTTAGGAAAATTTCTCTTGCCCACCTCTATCTTCTCTTCCCACGTTTGTGAACCCCACCCCTACCAAATAGCCTCAAAAAAGACTGATAGGTTGAATTTAGTGGCATAAGGAAAAGGAAGAGAGTTTGATAAAAATTTGATTTGAAAACAAGTGCCATCGATCTCTGAAGCCCTTTCATCATCTCCACAATTTTCCATATCCAACTTCATCCTCCTTTAATTGGACTTGCTTTAATTTCCACAAGCATAAGCATTTAAAAACTTTTATATTTGTTACTGTTTCTTTAATCATCAGTGTGGTCTCCACCCACCCCCTTTTCTTTGTACTTTTATACTACTTCAACAATAGTGTAGAGTTAAATAGGAGTTATGGATCTAGCATAGAACTCAAAAAAATATTAGCTCCATCATTAACTCCATTAGTGTGTATGAACCAGGAAATGTAATCAATTTTAAAATGGATCTTTTTGTCTCCACTTATTTATTTTAAGAAAACAACTTCATGGTAAGTAGGGTACTACATATATTAACCCTGGGACTACCTGGTTCATTTCCTCGCTTCTTCCACAGTGTATATAAAATGTTAATTTTCTGAAAAGAAATATTCGAATTTCGAGATGCAACTAGTATAAAAGCAAAGTCCAAAAGCAGGTAAACTATGTCTTTTAAAGATTGGTTCATTTCATCCCTAAATGTTTTGTTCGATCTGGTCATTGCATGACATTTTTAACAGGAATCACGTACACTTTAGAAAGAAATAAGACTTATTTATCAGCATCGAATTAATCCGGTAGTGCAAAGAGGGCTGGGAGGCGGGAATTGAGGGCACAGAGAAAAGTCAGGGGCTGGATTCCAGTCAGACTAGCTGAAAATCTATGCTCAGCCATCATTAGCGTGAATGGGCAAATAACCCCACTGATACTAAGCTTTTGGGGGGATTTTTTGTTTCTTTAGTGTTTGTTTTACCTGTAAGAGAATAGCTGTCTTACCTTGTTCGGTTTTTTGAAAAGTACCTTTGTAGGTGTGGCATGAACAGCGGCTACTAAATTGGAATGGTGTATATTTAGCTGAAGAACAAAAAAGCTGAATTAGTTCTTTGCAAAAATATAGTGAATTTTAGTATAGATGATCTTCACGCTTTAAAAAGGTATATAGTCAATTTTCTAACATTTATACATCACGTTAAAACACAGTGCCAGTAATTTTGCTAGTTCCACCACTATAAAAATCCACTTAGCCAAGTAAAAAGCCAGCTGCAGGGCCCAGGAGCAGATAAAGATAAAACTTAAAGGGCATTTTCTTGCCTGCTCCAACGACCTGCTCAGAACTACACAGAATTCCCGCAGGACACATATTGCCCGTGGCGGAATGCCCTCGTCTACTGGTGAGAGTATATAGCACCATCCAAATTCAGGGCGAAATTCGACGTAAAAGCATGAAAATTTAACCCTAGCTTAGCAACAGCGCATGCGCCCCAAACGGCCCGTTTGGGTGACACAGAGAAAGGAAGGAACGAGACGCTTTCGTGGATCCTATCGCGAGAGAAGAATGCCGAATAACACGTAAGAAACTAAAGATCCTGGCGTCGAGTGATAGGTGCCGGAACAAACGGACAGTGAGAAGCCATAAACGCGTGGGCAGGACTTCCGCCGGAAGATAGGGTGGTCTGGGAAACCTCAAAGCCGAGTTCCAGCCGGTTCTTTCCCTGCAGGTACAGGACTGCTGCTGCTGGGGTACGGGTAAGGATGGCTTGCGCCGCGGCGAGATCCCCGGCGGACCAAGACAGGTAGGTCATGAGAAAGCAAGAGGCTTGCTGCGAGCCCACGAGTGTTGCGTCGCTTTCTCCACCCCTGAGAAAGGTTCGCCGGTGAACTCCGCCCGGCCGTAGGCTCTGCGCCTCTTTGAGCGTTTGCTTGTCCCGAAGGCCAGCAGCCCACGCTCTTCGCAGGGTCACTGAAATCCCGACTTTAGCTCAGTGTTTATCTGTACGTGAGACAAAGGATTTTGGGTGCCTCGTGGACATGACATTATGTAAAAAGGAGACAACTTAAAAAAAATTATGCAAATAATAAGTGTACTGGCAAGTCGTGGTAATGAATGAATGAATGGAATTTTGGAAATACTGCTCTAGTGATAACAGCTGTGTTTTTCTGTGACAGGTTTATTTGTATATATCCTGCTTATTTAAATAACAAGAAGACCATCGCAGAGGGCAGGCGAATCCCCATAAGTAAGGTAAGCAAGTTGGCGCCTTGGTTTGAGGGGTTGGGAGGGCTTTACTGTTAGGGTCACAGAAGCTTCTTTTACTTTATTGCATTTGGCGGGGAGAACTCAGGAGAACAATAGCCAAGAATTTTCTTAATAATGGTAAAACCAGAAAGGCACTAAATTCATAGTTGAAGGAATTTTTTAAGTGGTTCTTCATGAGCTTGTGTTTGAAAGAAGCAGGGGAGAGTTGTAAGGTTTGCAGTGTTTTTATTTAAACTAAGGTTATGACAGTCATCCCTTTAGTTAAGGAAACCAAAATCGTGTCATTGTACAATAGAATGTCCAGAATGTAGTTGAGTTTTTAAAGAAAACTTGCAGAAAATTCAGAGGTGTAGAGTTTTATATTTTTATGTCAATGATCTTTTTTGAGATGGGTAAAGTTACTTTAAAAGTTACTTGGGTTAGGAAAGTGCCCACTGCCAAGTGAAGCGCCTTTGCAGCGGCTTTTTATTTTTTTTTTCAAAATTCACGTAAAATTAAGAATTATTTATTTTGTAATCTAACGACACAACTTGGTCTGAAGCAACGAATTCATTATTTTTGTGTTATTTAATATCTCACATTTTGCTGCTTAAATGTGTAAAGGAAAGTCTGTTTTGCTGCCTGATGATAAAAGAGAAGATACCAAAGCACTGGTTCAGAATAATGCCTGACATCAAGCCACTATAACAGCTCTCACATAATTTGGAGAATGATTAAATTATTTTTAACTTTATTGATGTATAGCATACATACAGAAACACATAAATCTTAAGTGTCTGTCTTGATTAATTCTCACAAAGTGAGTACACATGGGTAACCAGCACCGTAATTTAAAAATAGAAAACATTACTGGCACCCAGGAAGATTCCTTTTTGTCCCCTCCCAGTAATCGCCCTCTCTGCATATACTCACATACAAGGATAACCACTATCCTGACTTGCAACTCCATATATTACTTTTGCTTGTTTTTGAATTTCATTTAAATGATATTACACACTATGTACTTTTGTGTCTGTCTTTTTTTCACCAAACTTTAAGCTTATGAGGTTCATCTACATTTTTGAGTGAAATTTAATTCTCATTGCTCTGTGGCAGGTCTTTTCAACAGCTGCAGTTGACATTTTGAGCCAGATGATTATTTGTTGTGAGACTGTCCTGTGCATTTTAGGTTGTTTAACTGCATCCTTGGCCTCTACCCATTAGATGCCGGTGTGCTACACCACTCTTGTTATGACAATCAAAAATGTCTCCAAACATTGTCAATGTAGGTTGGGGGGCAGAATTTCTTTCCTGAAAACCACTTCTTTGTAGTATTGCATTGTATGAATATTCCACAGTCTGTTCTTCTGTTGATGGATAATCAAATTGTTTCTTGTTTGGGGCTGTTATATATAGTGCTGCTGTGAACATTCCTGAGTTTGTCTTTTAGAGAACAAATTTTTGCAAGGCCATAATGAATGCATGTATTTAGCTTTAGCAGATACTGCCAAACAGTTTTCTAAAGTGATTGTAGTAGTTGTTTAACCAATATTCACTGGGCACGTACTATGTTCTAAGTATCATACCAGGTGCTGGGGAATATACTGGTGAACAAAATAGTCCTTTTCCTTGTGAAGTTTATGTTCTGTTGGAAGGGTGATGGACATACAAGTATGAATCAGTGTTATTCTTGGGAATTTTTTTTTTTATTATTACAATGGAAATAACTGTACCTATTAGAAAAGGAAACCTATGGTATGTGTTTTGATTATAGTATTCGAAATGATTTACACAACATTATTACAGTATCCACTTTAAGCTTTTAGTATTTTCTTTTTCAATTACAATTGACATCCAGTGTTATATTAGTTTCAGGTGTATAGCACAGTGGTTAGACATTTATATAATTTACAGAGTGATCCCCCGATAGATCTAATACCCACCTGACACCGTACATAGTTATTACAACGTTATTGACTTTACATCCCCATGACTATTTTGTAACTACCAATTTGTACTTTTTAATCCCTTCACCTTTTTCACTCAGCCCCTCAACTCCTTTCCCATCTAGCAGCCATCAGTTTGATCTCTGTGAGTCTTTCTGTTTTGTTTGTTCGTTTATTTTGTTCTTTAGATTCCACACATAAGGGAAATCATATGGTATTTGTGCTTCTCTGTCTGACATTTCACTTAGCATAATACCCTCTAGGTCTATCCACGTTGTCCCAAATGGTAAGATTTCATCCTTTTTTATGGCTGAGTAATATTCCGTATATGCCACCTCATCTTTATCCAGTTGTTTATTTATGGGCACTTAGGTTCTTCCATATCTTGGCTTTTGTACATATTGCTGCATAAAGTGTTTAGTGCTCTTGTTTTTAACTGTTCAGGCTGTTGAAAATCCTACGGCTACAGAAATTCAAGATGTGTGCTTAGCAGTTGGACTTAATGTATTTCTTGAGGTAAGATGTGTTCTTCACTATTTTCCATACTCATCTCATTGATATAATAATTTTCTTAAACAAAACCTGTATTTATATATTAATTAATTATTTATTTATTTAATGTTAGAAAAATAAAATGTACTCCAGAGAATGGAATCGTGATGTCCAGTACAAGGGCAGAGTCCGGGTCCAGCTCAAACAGGAAGATGGCAGCCTCTGTCTTGTACAGTTCCCATCACGTAAGGTTTTTTCAGTGAATGAGTAGAGTTTGGGATAGGTTATTCCTCTGCACTGCAGAAAGGATTCTGATCTTTTGAAAGGTACAAGTCATAATTTGTGTTCTACAGATCACTTTAAATAAAGGACTACCATTATTGGAGAGGTAAACAGTGGTTCTAACTTTAAGTTAAGGACCTCTTTGAGAATGTAATAAAACCTACTAATGATTTCTCCAAAAAAATTATTTAGTGAACATTTTATATACTTCTGGAAGTCCATCATTGCTCCCAGATAAAGAATATAAAATTATTAAATAGTCAAATGTTAATTGCCATTTCAGATCTTAGAGATCCTGAAGTTTGCTTATAATTTCCATTAATAAATCTAAAAAGCCACATTTAGTGAAAAAAGAGATATGCATAGTGTGGTACCACTTGGGTAAATTTAAATACGAAATAAGAAAATACCCAGTCTTAAGATAGTAGTTAACCTAATGGCAAGCAGGGAGTGGAGTCAGGAGGGTTGTGGTCAGAAGACTGTAGCATTATCCTTATTGTTTTATTTCTTAAAAAACAATAACTAAACAAAACTGGACATCAGTATTCCAAAATGTGAATTCTGGGTATTACAAAGATGAGTATTTCCATGCTATTCTTTTCTGAGTTTTTTATTTAAAAAAATGTATATTTTTTTAGAAAATATATTTAATATTTTTAAATGGAGCTTTTTTTTCTTTTTTCTTTTTTTGACACAATAACCCCAGACTTATAACTTGTTTTTAGTTGAATTAAAATAGATTGGTTACACACTAAAACTTGTCAGGATCAGTAGATATTTCTAGAAACTTAAGATTTTCTGACTCAGGAGTGATTTGTATATTCCAGTGTGTTTTTCCTTCTCTTTGACATCTTTTTCTTTTACTTTAAAAAGACCAAAAAAAAAAAAACTTTTTGATTTAAAAATTGCAGTTGAAAAGATGTTGCTTCTTGTTTCCAGTAAGGAAATAGTTACAAAGTAAAAAAGGAAAGCCAGGGGCTTGGTATCTTAGAGTAAGGAAGGCAGCTGCTGGAGCTGAAGGAGGTAGTTGGTGCACAGAACAGGGGTGCCGGTATTCAAAAGTCATCTGAGTAATATCTTTTGTAGCTTAATGACATTGGATTTTTGTTACAAGAGTTAGAGGCCTTTGTTTCCCTAGCTTAAGTTACAATGATAGGATGATTTTTTCCAACCTGTTATATTTAGAAGTATTCTCCTTTGAACTTCAAGTCAACTACTAGGACAGAGACCAAAATTTTTGTTTCACACTTAGTGTTTTAAATTTTCATTGTGTTCATTTAAATATTGCAGTGTCGTTCTCAATACTTTTCTCCACCAAAGGCCCCCACTTGAACAAGTCATTGTCTTCATAGTCATTTTTTTCTTTTAAAATCCTTACCATTTTCTTGATATGATGATTTCTTGAACTTTGTATTATTTAAGTTAATGACCTTTTTTGTCTTCTCTCTCAGATTATACACTAAGCTTAACTTCTTGTTCCTAGGTAAGTCAGTAATGTTGTACGCAGCGGAAATGATACCTAAATTAAAAACAAGAACACAAAAAACAGGAGGTGGTGACCAAAGTCTTCAGCAAGGAGAGGGAAGTAAAAAAGGGAAAGGAAAGAAGAAGAAGTGACCTGGTAAGGAGAGTCAAGTTTGTGATACTACTGTAAGAGACATGAATGGAGATTTCTAATTTGTATCTGAGAAAAACAGAAGCTTTTTGTTTGTATTATTAAACTGAACTGTGAGTATCTGTGCCTCCCAGCTTCAGCATCAGAGTTGACAGTGAAATAAATTTACGTCAGAAGTTTGCATCTAGCATTTATGCAGTATAAAATAAATTTTTTTGCCTTTCAATGCAGTTTTTGTGGAAGAAAGAGGCATTTTTTTAAATGGACAGTGGTCTCTGCCATAAATTACTTGAAATCCTGTATCTGTCCTCTGAAAAAATGTTCAGATAAATGAGTTTAAAGATTCGAAACACATTTTGTTCATCTTTTAAGTTAATGAAATAAAATTTGAAACTGACTTATAGCTTTTGCTTATGAACTAATCTGTGCTAGTAGAGGAAATAATTAATAACATGGGTAATGGAAGTTTAGTGTGAGCTTAAAACTAGAAGAAAATGGTTAAATCCTTTTGGAGGTCTATGAACAGCAAGACTATAGATCATATTCTTTTAATCAGTTACTGTAATCGAATTTTTCAATTACTAGTTTTTTGACATATGGAAAGTCTTGGAGTCTAAGCTTTAGATTTCCTTATTTTGTAGACTTAAGAACCTTATTTTAATCGCAATTTTAAAATTTCCTGTGCTTTAACACCTTGAGATACACTTTTTTTCAAGAACCTAAATTGGATTGGTGATTCTGACTATTCCAAAACATTGTTTCTGAAAGTGGTGATTTTTTTGTAAAATTTAAGAGAATTTCTATCCAGCCATGTTTTTGTCTACTGAGTATCTCTTGGGGAGCTGCCTTCCCTGACCATGTGTGCTCCTGGAAGGGCTGTTATAGTCATGCAGTACATATTGTTTAGACTGTGATCCCAGAAGATTGTAATGGAGCTGAGAAATTTCTATCGCCTGTGACGTCTTAGCCGTTGTAAATTCAGAGCACTTAACTCATGTTTGTGGTGATGCTGTTGTAAACAAACCTCTGTTGCCTGTCATGTAAAAGTATAGCAAATATAGTTATGTACAGTACATAATACTTGATAATAAACAACTATGTTACTATGTATTTACTATGCTTTTTTGTCATTTTAGAATATACTTTTTCTACGCATAAGTTTGCTGTAAAATGCTGCATTATACCAGCAGCACCCTCATACATCTAGTATTTACCATGTTTCTTGATTACATTATTTATTCTTGCATTCGATTTAATCTCATGTTGTTTTATAAATTTGGTGTAGCCTAAGTGTACAGTGTTTTTTAAAGTCTACAGTAGTGTTCAGTAATGCCCTAGGCCTTCACATTCACTCACCATTCCCTCACTAACTCACCCAGAGCAACATCCAGTCCTGGAAGCTCCATTCGTGGTAAGTGCCCGGTACAGGTGTACCATTTTTAAACGTCTTATACTGCATTTTTACTGCACCTTTTCTATGTTTAGGTATATTTAAATACACAAATAGTAAACTATTGTGTTAAAATTGCCTACAGTATTGAGTACAATAACATGCCATACAGGTTTGTAGCGTAGGAGCAATAGGCTATACCATGTAGCCTAGGTGTGTAGTAGGCTGTACCATCTATGTTTGTGTAAGTGCACACTGATGTTTGCACAATGCTGAAATTGCCTAACAGTGAATTTCTCAGAACATATCCTGTTGTTAAGCACCACATGGCTGTAATTACAGGACTGCATCCTGACCACAGGATATGACCCAAGCCAGGTCAGTGGATTATTTCTCAGGAATTTAAATCTGGAGTAGAAACACAGGTACAGATGGTGATGGGAGCTAAAAGGTCTACAAATTTGAGGTATTCCTGATTCCTATTCTTCCTGAAGCCTGGAATTTTGTGAATTCTACTAAATATCCTTCCAGTAAACCCTAATTACATTTTTATGGCTTGAGATCAAATGATTCCAATTGATTACTAAATAAATGAACCCATAGTTTCAGAGCTTTAAATGAGATTTTATACCCAGGCTGTATGAAGATGATCCATTGGTGCACAGGAAGAAGTATTAGAATTTCTAATTTTTTTTTTCTCTTTAACAGTTTCTGTTGTTCGTTTGTTTTATATGTAATATAAAATGTAATAACATATAGCAGCTTATATATTTAACTTATAAATATTGGGACAATATGTCCAAAACATTCAGAGCAGACCTCTTTAGGAAAGTGTATTAAGAATGTGTTTGGCTATGTAACAGAAAACAATGAGGGACTTAAACAGGCATTGATTTTTTCAAATAACATTAAATCCAAATGTTATAGGTGTTGCTTCAATTGTTCAGTGATGCCCTCAAGATCTTCATACTATCTATTCATGGTATGTTTCGAAAATCCTTATGATTGTCGTTTCAAGCTTGTAAAAAGGCTGATACATACAGCACCAGACAGCACATCACAGTTCAAGGCAGAAAGAAAAGATAGCTGTGCCAGACATATCTGTACCCTTCCCTTAAAAGGAAAGCCAAAGATTTCTCAATCCCTCCACAGCCAACTTTCACTTAAGTCTCACTGTCAAGAACTGTCCATCTTCAGCTGCAAAGGAGACTGAGAAAGTGAATATATAGCTTTTTCAGCCCTGACAATAGAGGCAACCAAGTAGAAAGTAGTTGAGAATGGATATTGGAGCAGCCAATATCCATTCTTAAAAGATTTGTCACAGAATGATGATTGAAACGTAAAATTGTTTTAGTTCTGGAGCAATAAGAGTTGTCAGGAAATGTTTCAGAACTATTGCTGAAACCCTTGCTGTTTCTTTGTATTATTGCAGTCTGAATAACTGAACTTTTCTTCTTTGCCAATCAAATGAAAAATGGAATCTTATAATGAGCAAGGTTGAGCATTTATGTGTTGAAACACCATTTGTATTTACTTCAGTGAATTATGTGCAAATCCTTTGCACACTTAAGGACTTATTTGTTAAATTATACATAATTTAAAGAGACAGCTAGTATTAATAGTTTCAATTTTAGGCATTAACTTCCATCTTAGAAGAGTAGGATTTAGTTCTTCTTTACCCTTACCACATGCATGCCTGCTTCTCATCTTCTCTCCTACCAATTGCCAATATATTTCATAATTTTAGTCACTATTCAGAATTCGCATTATTATTCCATTTATAGCTGAACCATGTTGCTAGCATCTTTGCTACTCAAAAATGTGCTGCTCAGGGGTCCAGCAGTACTGGTCTCCCCTGGGAGCTTGTGAAAAATGCACTCTCTAGCCCCAGCCCAGAATTCAGATGCATTCAACAAGATCCCTAGGTGATTCTTAATGCACATTAAAATTTAAGAAACACTGAAGTATGCTATGGATATTTTCATTTTCTGGACATGTTTTCCTTGGAGCTGGCATTTTTTCTTTTATTTGCTTAGTTTTCTAAATATCACTAAACCATACATTATCTGTCGTCAAAGTGTCTTTCCAAAAAGTTTGTTCACATCAGGTAGTTTATTTTTCCTCAGCGAAAAGGATTTATTTGAGGAAAGAAAAAATTGCAATCTGGGATGTGTAGCTAGGCCAGCCAGGTGGCGGTTTCCACCCGGAGGAAAATGGAGAAAGTACTTCATAGAGGGGAATAGGAATTTAAGGGGCGGGCAATCACCAAGGCGGAGCTCTATCCTAACTACTTTCCCGTAGGGCTCTCCCGATGACATGGGTGTGAGAGCTTCCACACGCACTCCCCATTCCCGTCTTGGTTAAGATCTCCGTCGTAAGTTTTGACACTCAACCTCCTCCCAGGCCCCTGGACCACCAGACTCCTAGGACGCAATCCAGCGGAAAGACAGTCCCCAACCCCTGTGCTCGCCCTGGGGAAGGGGTCCTTTCTAGCCGCACAGCCTGCAAGCTGCCGGCGAATCCCCCTGGGCTCAGCCTGATCCCCACCAGGTGGCGCCCCAGAGCATTCCAGTGCATCTGCACCTTCCTCACAAAGAGCAGGAAGCTCGTGAGGCCCGCACCTCAGCCCCAAAGATCCTGTATCAGTGTATTCTATGTATCCCCTTTTTTCGGTTACTTGTTTTGTTTAACCGAACTTCAAGATCATCCTGGGAGAAATGCAAGGGAGGTAAATGTTTTTAGACCTTGGATGTCTGAAAGTGTCATCAGTCTACCCTCACACTGTTTGGCTAGGTATAGAATTAGAATTGGAAATCATTTTGTTTCAGAAGTTCAAGGGCATTACTTCATGGTCTTCCGACTTCTGTTATAGCTGAAGGAAAGTCCAAGCCATTCTAATTCATGATCTTTTGTGACCCACATGTGTTTCTTTTTGAAACGCACAACTATATTAGTATTCGGAAATATCACAATACGCTTTGGGTCTTTATTTTTTTCCTGTCTATGCTGGGTACTTAATGGGCCATTTCAATCTGGAAAAGTATTCTTAAGTTCTAGGAAATGTTCTTGAAAAAATTTTTAATGATTTTTCTCCCTTTTCGGATCTTTCTTGGACTCCTGATTTGAATATTGGACCTACTGGACTAGTCTTTAAATTTTATCTCTCTTTCTTCTTATTTCCATCTCTTTGCCTTTATATTCTACTTCCTAGAATTCTTTAGTTTTATCTTCTGACTCTTCTATTGAATTTTTCATTTTTCTTTTGTTTTCAAGTTCTCTAAGCTCTTGTCATCTGAATGTTTCCCTTTTCTAGCATTCTATTATTTCATGGATGTAATTTCTTATTTCTCAGAGGCTATAATTTATATTCTTTTCTAAGTTTCTCTTTTTCCTTCCATTTTTATTTTGATCCCTGTCATGTTAAGTGGCTTTCCTTAGATTGATGATTTCTTTAAAAGTGAAAGATCGAAAAGCTGATTTGAAGTTCTGAGCACATATGGGCTTGCAGACTGAGTTTTACTAATGATAGCTGTCTGAGATGTTTTTTGGGAAATTTCCAAGATCAGAGGTGTTTACTCTTAAACTGATGTGTTTTCTCAGAATGATAAAGCTCTCAGGACGATAAGGACCTGGGAGACTAATGGGAGAAGATGGGGTGGGGAAATGGGTGTCTGCATTTAGTCACTCATTCCTGTTTTAATACAATTTCTATCCCTCAACTGTGCCTGTGTCCCCTCCTCCAAAGATCCTCTTACTATTTTCAGAAGATAAATCTCCAGTCTTACTTGAATAGGGGGAAGGTAGTTGTTTTTTAACCCTCCTTGTTTTAGTTCCCTCTCAATATTAAGATTGCTCTTTACAGTTTTTTGATATTGGATGTGACTTTATAATGAAATTTCTATATCCAAAAAGAGACTAGATGGGTTAGATAAAATAACGCCCCTCCCAAACCTGTGAATGTTACTTTACATGGCAAAAAAAAAGGCTTTGCAGATTTGATTAAGGATCTTGAGCTGAAGAGAGTACAGGTATACTTCAGAGATTGTGAGTTTGGTTCCAGACTACCGTAATAAAGCGAGTACAGGCCTACCTTGGAGATATTGTGGGTTTGGTTCTAGACTACCATCCTAAAGTGTCACAAGAAAACGAGTTGTAATCGTTTTGCTGGTGGAGGGTCTTACCTTCCGTTTGTGAAAAAAACAACACCTGTGAAGCACAATAAAGCAAAGCGCGATAAAATGAGGTATGCCTACATCCAGGATTATCCAGGTGTGCCCAATGTAATTACAAGGTTCCTCATGAAAGCGAAGCAGTAGAGGGCATACTAGAGCGCCAGGAGCCGAGGAATTCCGGCAGAATCTTGAAGCTGAAAGCAAGGAAGTGCATTCTCTTAATCTCCAGGAGGAATGCAGCTCTGCCAACCAATTTTGGATGTCTGACCTTCAGAACTGTAAGCTAATAAATTGTGTTGTTTTAAGCCAATATATCTGTGGTAATATGTTACAGTAGTAATAGGAAATTAACACAGCAAGTGAACTATATAGTTAAGACACTCTCCAGACCTTAGGATTCTTGGCCTCATTAGTAGTTTCTACTTAGTGGTTTGTAACCCTGGCTACATAGCTACATATTAGAATCACCTGGAGTTTTTAATTGCATACTAGCACCTAGATACACAGTAGATTCAGAATTTCTGGTTGTGGAGTCAGATACCAGTATTTTTGGAAAGCTGCTCAAGTGATTGTAATGTACAGCCAGATCTGAAAATCTCTGTATACTAAGTGTAAAAATAGCATTTACCTAACGCAGTGGTTCCTGGACCATCAGCATCACCCAGGAACTTGTTGAAAATCCAAACTTTTCAGCCCTACCCCAGAACTACTAAATCAGAAATTTTGTGGGTAAGGCCAGCAATCTGTGTTTTAACAACCTACCCCTCCCCAAAGAAATTCTGTTGCACACTGAAGTTTAAGAACCACTATCTAACCAAAGAAACTCCTTATTGTTTATAATTTTTACCAGGTGTTATAAAGAAATGTTATAAGTTAATATTATAGTAAGTAGCCAAAAAAACTTTATTAAGGTCATTCTCAAATATATTTACTTTCCTGCTATACTATACAGAACTGCAATATTTGATGGCTAAAGATCTGAATCATGTCTGTTATTCTAAAAACACAGAGACTGTAGACATGTAAAGGCAGATATAGGAGACAGAGCTAACCCACATCCTCTAGCAATGTTTTTAGTAAAATTCTTAAATTCTTGTTCTCAAAACAAATACAGAATAATTTGGAGGCACATAAAAGAAGTGTTTACTACATCATAACATATTCAATACACTCAATTTGTCATGAGACTTGTATCTAATGCAATGCAGGAGTAGAAAGCAGTGGTTTAGATTTCTTTTAACTTTAGTGCTAATTATTGATAGAAACTTTTTTTGGTTGGTATATCTTCTTTAGGGAAAGTCTTTCCTCTGACAGGTAGTATTCACCAAGGGAAAACTACTGGCCGGTCAGGAATGGGATTAATAAACAGCAGTGTTTGAGGTTCATTTATCTGTTGTCAGACTTTACGTAAATTTTTCTAGATTTGTTTTAAAAACCCCACAAAATGAGATATAACACTTCAATGAGATAATGGAATTTTATTTACATCCATTTCCGTTTAATATATCACATCTTCAGGATAGGTGGTAATTTAATTAAAGGCCATGCTCGTTTTCCTCAGGCGGTGGACAGAAGACTCTCCAAAAGAGCAGTAATTATTGATCAGAAACCTTTAAAGTAGAGAAAGAACTGCTGTAGAGATTCTGTAACTTTACTTAACCCCCCAAATACCATTCATGTACAAATAAATGCTTGTCTTCTAGCTAGAAACAGGCTCAGTTAGTTTTTCAAATACTCTAACCACGACAATATATTTACTTGGGAAATCTAAACTGAAGCAGAGTTGTTAAAACTCATAATTTCTCTTGTCTTTAACATGTACACTTTGCCAAAAACAGTAACAAATTTCCTCCAGAATGCATTATAGGAGAAAGCTATCAGAACAAGTTTGCATTCAGAATGTTTTCTTGCTGTAGTAGTTTTTAAACTGATATTAGCCTGTAAGTAGTTATGAGCAATAGTAACTTTTATGCCTCCCATTTTACCTGATAATATATTCTGTATACTGACAATCTGATTATATGTTCTGTATGCTAGAAGTTGACTAATTTCCTTTTTTTTTTTTTTGCCTCCAAGAAAAACATACTTCTTTACAGGGAAAGTGATTTAAATACTCCTAGAAGCACCTTTTCTTTCTTTTTTTTTTTTTTTTAAATCCAAGGCTTTTCTCTCAATAATTGTTTGCTTTCTAAAATTTTTTTCTTTAAGGTAAGTTTACTAAGACTCCTTATGATCACCACTGTTTTACCCAGGAAAAAAAAATGCCCTGCTCCATATTATAATATTTGGGTGATACTGTCCCTTATTTTTGATATCTTTATATATATTTTTACATCATGAGACATCATTCAAAAGGAGAACTAATCAGCTTTATTTGCCTTAAAAATATTTTACAGACAGGATATTTAATCTTGATAGTTTTGTTACGCTCTTTAGTCAGTTTTGTCTAATTCAGAAGGATCCTAGTAGTATGGCTGGTGTAAAGCTCAGTTTTTCTAGTCCAGACAAATTGTCAGGGTCGCCATAAGATACTTGGCTGATCAAGCTGGAGATGATGATTTTTAACTTTTTCTCTATACTTAAACTATGTAGTTATATGCAGTTTATCAAAACAAAGCATAAAGATGAAGGCATTTAAACGGATTACAAATGACTGACTTGCCAACTAGGGAGTCCTCTTGTGTTTGACCTTAAAGGCTAGAGAAAGAAAGTGAAGGCTGTTTTGACTTAACCGCTGCCAACTAAATTACAGGTTATAGCATACCTCCTTTCACTCTCCCAGAACTGCTCTCAGAGCCAGGTGTCATCATTAGCATGTAGTTGCTAGCTAATGATATAAATGACAACATACATATACTCAGAGGTGGACAAGTCTCTAGAGGTTCTTTAAACTGGTTTAAAAAATGACTGGGAAAGAAGACTACATGTTAGCACTGAAGGTGACACCAGGGGTGGTTTCCATTTTAGCATCTCAAAACCAGACAAATCTAAAGCTTATAAACAGATTTTTAAAAGGCCACAAGACGGTATCACTAGTTCTACAGGGAACTGGGAGCTGTAGATTACTGATACATGTGTACATTTCCCCATTTATCACCAAAGTGACTGCTTTACGTAGCTGTTCTAGTAGTCAGCTGCTACGACGTTAGGAAAACAACCAGGCCAACTTCCATTCACGCTCACTTACCACTTAACTATTCATTTAAAATACTACTCGTTTGTATTAATTTCCTGAAATACTCTTCAGCAGATCACACCAGCACAATGGAACGTTCAGTTTTTGGCAGGTGCTCTCCATGAGCATTATGCATGCTATATAGTCAGTAACATTTCCCTACCTATATGTATGCACAAATACATTCAAAACATTTAATACAAAATTGTACATTACATGAATGTAGAACCTTAAAGAGTATCCTGAAATATAAGTACAGAGAAAATGCATGCAGAGAGGGCCCATTAAAGTACAAAGCCTGTGGGATATCTAATTTTACTTTAATATTTCCTGCAGGATGGTAACATATGTCTTTTTCTACCCAGAGGCAAAATATATTTTCCAAAAAATTTGGACACTGCCCATTGCATTAAATTTAAATTAAAATGCTCCCTATGTATATAGACAGTAAAAGTAAGCAAAACAAACTTACAACACATTCCTTTTTTTAATATATCAAAAACGTTTCCAAGGCAACATTATGTTAAAATGATTATACCACAGTCCCTAATACAACATCGAGCTCTAATAGGAAGGTACAGAGAGGGCGGGAAAGTTTCATCCAGTCGGTGGTTTAGGTGCTCTTCTTTTCTTCACCCAGTAAATTCACGGCAGCTTTCTTGGCTGTGAAGAAGAAAGGAAATTTATCAATGCTATTCGTAATTCTGGCTCCGGGCTTAATATAGCTACTAAATAACAACTATCCTCCCTTATGCATCAGATTCCTTGGGCATATGGTGTTCCTCTGTACAATCAAGAAATTCCTGTTTGTGTCTGGGTGCTCACCTGTACAATTTCACTATGTCTCAATCTGATGACAACTAGGTCATCCATCTATTCCGTGGTGACAGAAATCAGAGAGTCCTCATTCCCTGAATCCAGAAATGATTGTCTATTTATACACATATTTTTGTTCTCTTATTGTGCCACCATTTTCTCCTATGATGGGAAGAGTGTGCTGCAAGTCTCTGAGTTGGTGAGGAGATACTATGTTCATCAAGAAAGTATTCTTACACATCTGTGGGAGATTAAGCCTTGCCCGTCCTAATTGCTAAGTAGCTTGGACCATGCTGTAGGAACTGGTGTGTGTGTGATGGACAAAGGGAAGGGGTTTTCTGGAAGCCTCCGAGACCTCCTGTGAGATTCCACAACTGGAGCTGTTTTTTGATGGAGCCCGAGTCCAGTGATGAGACCCAAGGAGACCCTCCTTGTTCACCAGCGACCTGACAGCTCTCCCTTCATTTGATTACTATTGCTGATCAAAATTAACAACAACAAAAACTGCAGCCTCTCTCTTAACTAGACTTTTGTAAATATTTACTTCCTGGAGAATCTAGAGCTTGGAGAAAAGTCTAAAACATGTCAGCGTGTATGTTCCTCCTTAATTTCATTCTGACACCCCTGCTTAAGAATGTATCACATTGTAAAACTGAATTAAAATAGAATTTTAGAGTATTGATATCTAAGAGAACCAACAGGCTAAGAACTGTGGGCAAACTAGACAGAAATGACATTATCAGAGGTTGCTGGTTAGGCTAAGGGCAAGGAAAACAGGAAAAAAAAGTTCTTAAAAAGAAAACTGGTGATCCCAAAGCGGGAGTATGTGAAGGTTACAAGTTATAATTTAAACTTGTAGAAAAATGTATTGAAGTAGACTGGAGTTCTGTGTACAGAAATAGGAGTTCAGAGGAGAGGGGGGTCTGTGAGGGAGAAACGGGGAGAACACGTCACTGCGCGGACACCAGTGCTGCTGGAGAACTGTCTGGGTGTGGATCTTACCTCCCCTGGTCAGGTCGCCTCTCATCTCCCACTTTCTAATTACCATAGAGCTCTAACAACAAAATTCTCCAATTCTATGTCCATTGCCCACTTTTCTCCGATTTCTGAAAACCTTACTGTGCCCTCTGGAACTTAAGACCCATCGCCAGCCAAATCTCTATTGTCAACCACTTCTCCAAATGTTTCCTTTCCTTTCTTGCTTTTACAGAAATACGGCTATTCCCTGAGGACACTGCTTTCTCACGTGGTGGCTGCCTGCCCGCCCCCCCCCCCGCCCCCTTCTATGACCCTAGTGCCACTGGGCCTGTTGATCTGGTAAGTGTTACCTTTGTTCTTCATTGCCACATTCAGAATCTCATGTCATCAGATTATATCTCCCACTAGCATTCCTTTTTCCAGTCATCTCTGACCCTTGGGCTATGCTGACATTTAAGATTTTAGCTCCAAAGTTATTATCACTCCCTAATACTACTCCTAATTACGAATGATTTCAGTATTCATGTAGATTTATGTGATCCTTCCAATATCCTAACCTTAGCTCCTCCCTTCATATTCTATCCTAACTACTCCTGCCTACCTCAGGCACTCACTCATGATCATGTCACTACCAGTAACTGCAGTCCCTCTATAATCTCAGTGTCAAGCATCCCGCTCTCCGCCATCCCCTATCATTTGTAGCTCATTCCTTCTATTATCCTGCTTCAGAGTTGGTCCCCACCACCTGGTTTTATCATCACTGATCTTACCACCTTTTCCACTGTTGGTTACTTTGCTCCTCACCCAGCTTAAATTCCATTGTCAAACATTAATCACTCCTTAGTCCACTCTCACTTCATAGTTCTTACCTAAAAGTAACCCTGATACAACTCTCCAAAACAGACAAACCAGTTTCACTTTAAATTCATGGACACAAATCCCAAGTGAGCCTTTAATGATGCCTGGCAATCACATGACACTGTCCCCGTCCGTTCACTCTCCCACTGTCTTAGAGGGGTCAGCAAATTCCAGCCACACTCAGTGGTTTACATATTGTCTGTAGCTGCTTTCACTCTGCAATGAAAGAGTTGAGTAGCTGCAACAGAAACCTGATGGCCTGCAAAAACTAAAATATCTTGCCCTTTTTCTGGGGTCAGAAAAGTTTGCTGACCCCAGTCTTAGACAACTATTTCATACCTTCTCCTCTTTTCCCTATCCTCTCTCCCTCGTCCTTTCCTTCCTACTTTACTGAGAAATTTGAAGGAATCAGAAATTACTTCTATAAGCTCCTATCGTCACATATACTCTGAGTACCCACCAGCGTCTTTACCAATAAACCCTGATTTCCCTCCTGTTATTACAAACTGTTCCTGTGACCAATTCCTATGACCAATCCCTCTGTTTGTACACTAGAGCCTGTCTCCTCTGGTCTAGTCGAGGACAGACATCCAGCAATTCACCCTCTCACTTCTATCATTTTCTTGCTCTTTGCAGGATCACTCCCATTAATTTTCAAACATACTTTGTTTTTTTCCACCTTAAGGAGAAGAAAAAAAATCCTCAGGACCCTAGTTTCTTCTTCCAGTTATAGCCCCATTCTTCTGTTCTCTGGTAGGAAACTTCTCAAAACAGTTGTCTATATTCTCTCATGCCTTTCCTCCCCTTTCTCTCAAATCCATTCCAATCCGGATTTTGCTTCCGCCGCTCCACAAAACCTCTTTTGTCAAGATCACTAGTGCCTTCCTCACTGCTAAGTCCAATGGTCAGTTTTCAGTCCTTATTTTACTAGCCTTGTCTGCAGCACATGACACAAAGGATCACTCCTTGCTCTTTAAAACACTTTCCTCAGTTGGTCCTAATGATACCATAGTCTTGGGGTTTTCTTGCTACCCCAACTGGCCACTCCTTATCGGTCTACTTTGCTGGTTGCTTCTCATCTCCCCAGTCTCTAAACACTGAAGGCCCCAGGGCTCAGTCCTTGGACCTCTTCTTTTCTAACCACACTCACTTCCTTAGAGATCTCATTCAGGTGGTGGGGACCAACTATATGCTGGTGACCCCCAAACTTACATCCCCAGCCTAGAACTGTCTCCTGAATTCCTGATGTCTATATCCAACTGGCTGTTTGACTACTCTTGTAGGTACCTAACAGACACCTCAGAGTTATGTCCAGAACTGAATTCCTTATTCTCCCCTTCTTAACCTGTTATACCTAGTCTTTCCCAGCTTAATGGCAACTTTAGCCTTCTATCTGTTCAGGCTAAAAAGCTTGGCCTCGTCCTTGACTCCTCTCTCATACTCCACGACTGATCCATAAGCAAATCTTATTGGTTCTACCTTTAAAATCTATCAAGAATCCAATGACTTCTTACCTCTTTCGCTACCATTACAAACCGGTCACCATCAGCATCTCCAGCCAGATCACTACAATGACCTTTTAACTGGTCTCCTGATTTCCTCCCTGGTCCCCTTCAGTCTATTCTTAACACAGTGGCCAAAGTGATACTGTTAAGATACAGGATGGATCATGTTGCTCCTCCGCTCAGAATCCTCCAGCGGCACCCCATCTCACACAGAGGAAAAGCCAAAGCCTTTACAATAGCCCATAAGGCATTACATGATCTGTATTCCAGCCTCCACCCCCAACCTCTCTGACCTTGTCTCTTGCTCTCCCTCTGGATGGTTCTCTTCCAACCATACTGCTTCAGCCTCTAGGCTTTCACATGTGCTGTTCCTTCTGACTGGAGCATTCTTCTCCATGGTTCCCTCCTTTACTACTTGCAAGTCTGATTCAGTATAGCCTTCTTGGTGAGGATTTCCTAAATCACTCGAAAATTGTAACCTTCCTTTCAGCCCATAGCACTCCTATCTTTTTATCTGCTACATTTTCTTCCATGTCATCTGCTGCCTATACCATATAACTTACTTTTAAATTTTATTGTCTATCTCAATAAGATTTTAAGTCATGAGTTCAAGAAGTATGATCTTTTTGGTTCACTGGTTAATCCCCACTGCTATGAACATGCTTGGGACATATTAAGCACGTTGATAAATAAATATTTGTTGAATGAATGAGTCAGGAGAGCTAGGAGAGAATGCATTCTCTAGGACCTGTAACAAAAGCAATTTGAGCAACATATTAAGCAGTTCGCCCTGAACTGTATTAAAGAGAATATACCTGAATATAAATACAGATGACTCTCTAAACTCTGCCCACGACACGAAGTCATTTTTCCTAATAAGCTGACTGAATGGTACATTAAATGTGGCATGGAGGAAGAATCTTGAGAAAAGTAAAAGGCACAGGCAATGTCTTGGTAAAGAAATCCCCAAGTAATTCTGTGATTTGGCCGAGGACAGCTAATGGGACACAAAGGCCAGGAAGCTTATTATTTGGGCCCAGTGTATCATATCTCCTCTCACATGCTGAACCAAACTTCTTTGAACTCACCTTCTTTAGCAATGGCATCTGCAGTCTCTTTGGCTTTGTCCTTCAAGTCACTCACCACATGGTCTACCTGGGACTCGTGCCTCAGGAAGAAAGGACGGATGATGCGCTTGTAGAGTAGTTCAGCCCCGTTGGAGGGGCTCGGGGCCATGCACCACAGCAAGAAGCCGCACTGCACAGAAAGAGAGCCAGCACGGTAACAGGAAGGCGGTGGACATCCCGACAACACACACCACCCACCGCAACTCGGGACGGCACTGCCTCTGCTATTGTCTCCAATAGCATTTCCAGTGTTTTCTGCGAGCTACAGGTGGGCTTGTCTTAGATGTAAAAAAATGTGGCAAATAATGGGCTAGTAAGGAAAAGCTGAGACTGAAAAAGAAAGGTAAAACACACCAAGTCCAGACAGCTTAACTTCCTTTCTAACTTGGGCCACTTTTTAGTTTATAGCTATAAGAAGCTTTTATTATTTATAATTCTTTAAATTTTAAAAACACAGTACTTACCTGCACATGGAAAGCCCTGTGTGGATAAGCCTAATATCTATGAAGCTTGTTCTTAGTAGGCCTACCTTGGTAAGTTTGTCACATTTATTAATCCTATTATAGAAAAAATACCCTGGCCATTCTTGAAATCTTCCCGTAGTGGAATCTCAGTTTTTAGTAGACCTTAGCTTTCAAGGAATCTTTACAGTCAGATGTTCTCTTCTGTCACCTTGAATGTAGATATTATTCCTAACTCTTTCTTTATAGCTCTACTTAGCCACTGAGATTTAAAAAAATCAGTAAGAATTCTGCTCTAAAAACTTAAACAAAACTTGTCTCACACATTCCAGCACCAAAAAAGGCATTTCCTTGCACCCCCCCAAAAAATTGTCACCTATATATCCAAATAATTTTACTGTTTATTCAAATGATAAATAACATTTCAGCACTTCAAGCTGTCTAAGCAGTTTATTCCTACAAGATAATGAGCAACACAGGGAATATTCAGAATGATATGCTCATTTCCCTAGAAAGTTTAATAAACTACATACTGGGTGGGTTTTTTTAGTTTGAGATTCTAACACCCAGCCTAGATGAATCTATAAAAACGGAAGTAATTTCTTGAGATTCCAAATCTACTTTTTACAACTTCTTAAAGTAACTACCCTTCAACTTCTTATGTCACATATTTAACTCTATAGCCTTAGTCCTTGGTATTCCAAACCAAAGACTGCATTCAAATAATCAAGAAACTATATTGCTTTTCTAAGATAGTTCTTTGAACTTAAAATGCACCTATTTGTGCCCCGAAGCTCACTCTATCAGTACCATGTTGGCTCTAAGAAATTTATATTACATATTGAAGTTCTATTACACTCAAAAAATAAAATGCAAGTTTCAACAGATTATTCTCTCTAGATTACATGAACTATAGAACTCTAGAAAAGTACAGTCATGAATTAGACACAAGAGCAGGGGGAGCAAGCTTTCAAAAGACAGGTTACCAGACTGAATTAAGAAAGACAAACTGTAGCTATATGCTTCTTACAAGAAACACCAATTAAGAACAAAACCAATTAAGAACACTTAAAGGGAAGCCAAAAAAGAACACTTAAAGGGATTTTCATCTCTTTATTTATATTAGACAAATATCAACTTCCAAAATAGCTCATATGCTAATATTAACAGTACATAAATATTACTTAAGGCAAAATAAGCAGAGTGACAAAAAAAGGAAAACAAGTCATCAAGAAGATTCACCTGAACCTATATATCTTTGATATATGTAAATTATATATAGCTAAGTATATATGTTTATATAATTTTTATTTTTATAATTATATATAGCTTCCAAATATAGCTCTGAAATATGTAAATTAAAGTCAGAATTATATAGATAAATGGACAAAAGCCACAATTGTAGATTTTAATATTTCCATTAGAATTTGATCTATCAGACTAGAAAATAAAACTACAGAAGAACACCATTGAAAATCTTGATCTCAAGATATATACAGATTTCTCTACCCAACAGGGATTCTACGAGAATTTTATACTACATTATGTGGAAGGTGTTCCCAACCCCTGGCCTCAGACCAGTACTGGGGTCCGTGGCCTGTTAGGAACCAGGCCACACAGCAGGAGGTGAGCAGAGAGCTAGGGAGTAAGCTAAGCTTCATCTGTATTTGCAGCCACTCCCCAGGGCTAGCATCACCACCTCAGCTATACTTCAGATCATCAGGCATTAGATTCTCTTGGGAGCACCGGTCCTTGGTGCCAAAAAGGTTGGGGACCACTGAAGAGGGTAAGAGAATGTGCTCAAACTGGGTTCCAATGCTGGTTCTGCTGCTTACTAGCTAGGCAAGCCTTGTGCATGTTATTTAATTGCTTAAATCTGTTTTTGATTATAAAATAATTATTAGTTGAAATTTTTTTAAAAAATCTACCTCCTACAGATTTTTAAGAAAATAAGAAACATTTGGAGCACCTGGCATAGTAGAGGCTTTGTCTCTTTCTCACGGATACTGTCTTCTACCAACATCCATGAAATAGTAGCAAGCTAACTTACTAGCTTTAAGTAAAAATCAAATCCCAAAACCAACATACACCCTTTTTGAAACAAGTATTCTGTAATTCTTTTTTTTACTACCTGAAATGAAATTCAAAGTAATGATATACACATAATTACCAAAAAAAAAGAAAAAAAAAATCAAGATAATACAGTAGTCCTCCCTTATCCAAGGGGCAAACGTTCCAAGACCCCCAGTGGAGGCCTGAAACCACAGATAATACTAAATCCTTTATATATTGTTTTTTTCCTACACATATATACCTATGATAAAGTTTAATTTATACATTGGGTACAGTAAGAGATTAACAACATATAACTAATAATAAAATACAGTGATTACAATATACTGTAATAAAAGATATGTGAATGGCTTTGGGGACTTTATTAAGTAAAATAGGGTTGCTTGAACACAAGGACTGTGACACCACAACAGTCAGTCTGATAACGGAGACAGCTACTAAATCACTGACGGGAGAGTTATTTCTGGCATGTTTCGTTTAATATTTTTGGACCACGGTTGACTGCTGGTAACTGAAACTGCAGAAAGCGAAACCATGGATAAAAGGGGACTACTGTATTCTAACTGCAATATAAAGGAAAAATACAGTGAAAGTAATTTATAGTAAAATAATATGTAAATGTTCAAGCCAGATTGTACTAAAAAAAAACACCATAAAATACTCTTAAGTAGAATCAGTGACTATAACAGTTAAACAAAATTTCCTCCGTATATTCCCAAAAGGTTGAGAATTTCTGGACTAGAAGGACTACATAGCCTGCTTTCCCTATCAGAGTACTCAGTCAAAACAATAAACACAAATGATTTTTAAGCCAGCCCTCCTTTTACCTCTCCTACCCCTGATGTGTGACAGACTCCAAAACTCATTTACTGAGCACAGCACCAGGGAAACAAAGTTCAGAGTTAGGAAGAAAGGAGGGGAAAGCATGGCAGTAGGAAGGGGGAGGGCAGAGATGCAAACTAGCCATCTCGTAGTCTCAGTATACGTGCGTCTGCAGCCACCCAAACGCTCCAGTGAGCCCTCACAGACACACGATGGCAGAGTAAGACCTTCTGAGACAGGTCCACACACTTAAATAAAGCAATTCCTTGAACTACCCCTCAGTACCTCAGTAGGTATGTTAGTTTTATGTTTGCTGTTTTCCCAGTGGCTCTGCTCTGGTACCCGCTGGGCTTGGCCAGCTATCCTAGTGAATTAGAAGATGTTGCAAGAGAAAACCTTCGTCTTCTGAACCACATGTCTGCACGAACCCCAAATGAAGAACTAAATGAGCATAGTTTTCACTGGCTTTAGCTTTCGTTTCCTCTGCTTAGATCCAGGTTACAGAGACTAAAAACCAGTTTGGTTTTTAATATCCAAACATTCATACAATGTTCTCTACTGGTTGCTTATATAGGCAACACTACACACACACATACACACACACACCCAAGACTCAATACAACAATTTAAACAAAATTATGTGTAGGAAAAGGAAAAGTTACATTCTTGACAGAACATCAGAATTCCATGTGGACATTTTGAAGAGTATGCAGCATGTCCAAGGGGATGTGCCATGTACTACTGCATGAAAAACAATAGTTTTTTGTTGTTTTATGCCTACAGTACCTGGTCTTCCTAGGTGGTCTCCCATCCAAGTACTAACCAGGCTTGACCCTGCTTAGCTTCTGAGATCAGACATTGGGCTCGTTCAGGGTAGCATGGCCATAGACCATGGACCGTGGCTCCACTGCGGCATGAGCCCAGGACCTTCTGCATGTAAAGCAGACGTGCTTGTTGTTGTTGTTTTATGCCTACAGTACCTGGTCCTCCTAGGTGGTCTCCCATCCAAGTACTAACCAGGCTTGACCCTGCTTAGCTTCTGAGATCAGACATTGGGCTCGTTCAGGGTAGCATGGCCATAGACCATGGACCGTGGCTCCACTGCGGCATGAGCCCAGGACCTTCTGCATGTAAAGCAGACGTGCTCAGCATGAGCCCAGGACCTTCTGCATGTAAAGTAGACGTGCTAATTGTACACTGTGGAACCACATCGGAAAAGCAATAGTTTCTTACCAAGTATATTAACTACAGACAGCCCCTGACTTAGTGATTCAGCTTACAAGTTTTTAACTTTACGATGGCCCAAGAGCATAATACGCATTCAGTGATGTTTGGTAGGTTAGGTGTATTAAATGCATTTCAACTTATAGTATTTTCAACTTACAATGGGCTTATCAAAACATAATCCCATCATAAGGAGCATCTGGATTTGGACAGCAGAAAGTGTTTTTAGCATCTAACATCCTAATATGATATTTATTACATATATACAGAGATGTCTTGCTGTGTTTTATTAATATTTAGGAAATTGATATGGCATTTTAGACATGTAATACAATTTAATTTTTTACCATTTAAAATTGCAAGAAATAGTCTCCTGGCTGGTATTCCTATATAGAATATGTGATTTTCAGGAATGGATTATTGATGTAGAGACAGATGTTCATCCCCTCTAAGAATTAATTTTTTCTTCTGCAGGACTTTAGAAAAGTCATAAATTAATGTACTTGAGGAAAGTATACAAGACAGTAGTAGTATTACCAAGTTCTTACTG